CTCAGCCCCTCTCTGGGGCTCAGAGCCCTGAAGATTTGGAGCATCACCCACAATAGTCTGAGGGCCTTTCCATCCACAAAGCAGGCATTAATTTTTCCAAATATAGGGAGTATTGTGACTGCCCAGAGCTCTGCCAGAGGCTTGGGTCCAGAGGGGCACCATAACTACAGGTGAACAATAGCTACATTAAATCCATCAGACTCAATAGCTGAAGCTGCAAAGTCACAACACTTCGTATCCACGGAAGGCCTGACTCTTCAGATCCTCTGGGGAGTGGGAGGGTGTGACCCTCAGCCCTGGGTAACTGTTGGCAGACCATCCATTCCATGTTCCCACCCAGAGAGGCATGTGCTTCACACCTTGGCCTGACACTGGGCATGCTTAGAACACACCTCCTTTCCCCTACCAGTCAGATTTTGTGCCAAACATCAGCAGCGTTCTGGGAGTCAGAGGCCTGGCTGTGTGTACACATATGTGACTGTTCTCAGCACTCCTGTGTGTGGATGCAGCGAGTATGTGTGTCTGTATGTACCCAGCACACCTGTGTGGGTATGCAGTACGTATGTGTGCATGCATGCTCCCATGCCCTGTCTGTACCCAGGCACACAGGGTGGCACGTTGTCCTGTCAGGGTAAAAGCAACTACAAGGTGGTAGGTGAAGGAGCACTCCTGGCATGCTACAGCATCTGGGTACCTCCTTGAAAGGAGACTCAGCCAAGAACTGTGATAAAAGATGGCAAATGCTGAGCAACCATACCTCACCATGTCTCCCTCCTAGGCCGCTCCCACCCCCGACACACACACACACCAAGACTGTTTTCATCCTGGGAGTCTCAACGTAGAGAAACATCCCTTTGGAAGAAAGGGGCGGGAATATCTGAGACTCCCAACCCCACTCCTAGATACATCTGGCTTCAGCCTCAGGCCCTGCCCCCTATGTTGAGGGGCACCCAGTGAGAGTGGGACAGGCCCTAAAGAACTGTGCCTTCTCCCCGGGCTCAGAGCTGCGGGCCTTGGGGTGAGGCTGAGGGAGTGAGAGGCAGGCCTGGTTCCACACTACACCTGCCCCTGCAATCCTCACCAAGGAGCTCAGCCTGGGGCAACTCTCTGATGGGGAGCCAGAGTGAGGGCTCAAGGCAGTGCCTGCCGAGCATCCCAGACACAGACAACCTCCACGTTCAGTCCCAAGCAGAGGAGGAGGCCAGGATGCACTAGGCCCTGGGGGGAGCATTGGGCCTGGAAAGTAGGGCAGTGTTTCTCCCCCAGGCCACTGTCCAGCCCAGCACTGCTCCTCAGCAGGTAAGGAGCAGAGGGCAGTCTGGGGTCCAGCTTCGTCCAGAAAAACAGGTCAGGGCCCCACCCTATCCCCCTAGCTGTCACCTATTTACTCAAGACTCTGAGGTCTCCAGACCAGTTAACAATTGTTGAGCAAAATCCTTCAACAAACTTCACTGAAGTAGGAGGACTCAAGGAGGGGGACGTTCCTAGGGGTGGGCAGGGGAATGTCGTTGCCTGTGCCCAGGAGAGAAGCTCCACTGCAAGCTTCCTGGGCTGCAGGCCCAGCGTTGGGAAACTGCCGTCACCTGGCCTGCCAGGCCGGTGCCTGCAGCTCTGGGAATCCCAAGGGGAGGCCCCAGGCGGCTACAAACCTGCCCTGAAGGGGGCACAGGCCCACCCTGTGGCTGCCAAGTGGATTTGGTCAGATGGTTAAAGGTGCAAAACAGGGGGAGAGAGTCCTATAGAAGAGGCCGTGGGGCCCAGCGGGGCTCTTGGGGTCTCCTGCTGCCCTCGCCAGCGGACTGGAGCCAACAGAAACGTTTCGTCTGATTAGGAGCCATCAGTTCTATCCCAATCCCGGAAAATTGACTGCGGTGCAGAGGCGGGGGCCTAAGAAGCAGCCTTGGGGGAGAGGGTCCAAGCTAATTAGGAGGCAGCATCCGGGGGCCCATTAGAGAACAGGCTGCTGTCACTCAGTCGGGCGCAGGTCCCGGGAGAAGAGGCCGAGGAAGGAGGGGCGGGCGGCCCCTCGACGAGGACGCTGCTGGGAGCTGCCGGACGGGCCCTGGGCTCTGCCCCTGCCCTGGCTGGCTCGGAGGCGCCCGCTCGGTGCGCTCCTGCTCGGTGAACATTCACTCATCCCGAGCTGTTCTCGCCCAGGGTCTGGGGACCCCTGGGCCCAGACAGCAGTTGATTCTGAGCGA